CGACCCAGTGACTAAGCACAGCGCATCCTCAGCCGCAGGGGCTCTCCATTTTACTTATCATCTTTTTTTCTCCGTTTTAAAAAGCACCGACTCTGTCAGGTTATCTAGTACCTTCAGTTACTGTCCATTTGTTCCTACTGCTGCTCGTCAGGATATTCAGGCTTAAAGCTGGCTCTGTGTCACTCAGACTCCTAACTGTCATTCTCTCTGTTGGAGAGCCTAGCTGTAACACAAAATAGAAAAATGCTAAGGGAAGCGTAATAAGATTTTAAGAACCTCTATGAATCCAAAGTTCAAATAACTGTGCTTCTGGAGGCGCCATTAATAACATAAATTCCCTGAGGTTCTTACAGAAAGCAGACTGCAACACGTCCTCTCCTGGAGTTAAGTTAAAGATTTAGAGTAGAGTGGTGTCTCCAGACACCAACACCCCAGGCAAGTCCTTACCTGTCTGTTCTAGACGGGAGCCATTGAAGCGGAGGGCTTAAAGGGGGAAAAGGTTCCTTTAAAAATCTAGAGTAAAGTTTTGGTTGAAGGCTTACTTATTGTCAACAGCCTGATCCTATAGGAATCTGACTATATTAAAGTTTATATATGTACATGTAGAAGAAACTTTTTCTGACAATTTTTTCCAGTTAGGCTCAATAAGTCACTGATTTTCAGTAAGACAGATGACCTCTATTTTAAAAGATAAAAAACAGGTTTGGGTTTCCTGTTTTGTGGAATACTTAACAGATCACTGGCTAATTCTGAAATATAAATAGGTTAAATATTTTTTTCTTAACACATCTCTCTGCTTAATGCCCTAACCAAAACAGGGAGTGATTTCCAAATCTCCTTCTTCATAGTTCGTTCTTTGTCTGGGCAGCTTTTAAAAAGTCACACTTTAGGGGTAGGGCTTCCCTGGTGGCTCAGAGGTTAGAGCGTCTGCCTGCTGTGCGGGAGACCCGGGTTCGATCCCTGGGTTGGGAAGATCCCCTGGAGAAGGAAATGGAAACCCACTCCAGTATTCTTGCCTGGAAAATTCCATGGACTGAGGAGCCTGGTAGGCTACAGTCCATGCGGTCACAAGGAGTCGGATGCGACTGAGCGACTTCACCTTCACTTTCAATTAGAGAAAAGCACCAGCTGAACTCATCTAGCATAGTAGCAGGTGCTGCTGCCACGGCCTTGGATTATCAACTCCATAGAAACAGACCAGAACTGACTGGATCTTTTCATTATTGAACATCATTTTTTTCTTTTCCCCCTACATTTTCTCAGTATTTGGGCTTTCCAGGGTTATTATTCCTACCAGCCAAACCGCTTTTTCCTCTGCTCTTTCCCATCACTCCACACTGTGGGTGGGCTTCAGGGGGGTGTTCTGGGAGACTGCTTACGTGCCCCTTTTCCCAGCCTAAACACTGACCCCCTTTTCTGTGTCTGCAGCATCACCACACAATCCAGCAGTACATGGTGACCCTGGAGAACCTGCTCTTCACTGCCGAGCTGGACCCTCACATCCTGGCGGTGTTCCGGCAGTTCTGTGCCCTGCAGGCCTAGGGCCATTTCCCCCTTCCTGTCAAGATTTCTTTAAAAGATCTCAAAATAATCTGTCTTATTTTTGATTGTTTGAATGCTTGCTTTCTTGTAGCATCCTGTCACTTTCTAAAAGAAAGAGAGGGAGGAGGACAGTGAAGAAATATGGTATTGATTACCCTTAACTGCCCCTAAAAAGCAGATATTCCCTAATGACAATAATGTGATAATGACCATAGGATGTATTATATATGTGACAAATACAGCTTTTCTGATATTTTTTTCTCCTTAAGGCACAAAGATAACTAATTTGAGGTATGTGAAACACTAGAGGGTCAAGCTTATTTACCAAGTAGTATATAGAACTGATGAATTTATTATCAAGTAGCATAGCTTTTCACAGCTCATGGGTAACGTAACATGGCTGAAATAAAAACTAAAAATGTTTTTTAAACTTTGGTATTTCATGATTTATCATCTCAGTCTACTTTAGTGATTTCTTTGTAAAATAACTCCATCTGAAATTTTCTCTTCAAAATACTTTTAATTACTGTAATATTTTTAAGATACTATTAAAAAGTTACTAGAGTAGCAAATTCCTAAATCTGAACACAAATCACCTGGGGCTGTCTAAAAAGTTATTTTTTAAATTAATATTAAACCACAGCCTTTCAAACACAGACATATCTGGTAGTTCTTAAGGCTCCCAGGTAATTGCAATATGCAGACAAGTTTTGGAATTATCATCTTAGAAGATCTGGTCATCTCAAATCTGAGACAGATCTGTTCAAGCTCATATAGTGCATTTCTTGTTAAAGTGTGACTCAGAAGTAGCTAGACTGACTAATGCCTAGGGTTAGATGTAGGTCTGGATTTTATTTCTGTGGAATCTGGTCCAAGTAACTACTAATTCCTAAACCTGTTTCCTATATGGTGTTGAGGCTTAACTAAGATAAGACAAGTACATCATAAAATAACAAGGGGTTATCTGACATTCCAAATTTCTAGCATTTCTAGTTTTTTTCTCATTGAACCTTTGAAAAAACTTAGCAATAATCCCACAACTGAAGTAGCTCTGTTCGTTTGTACAACATAGTGTTTTTTAAACTTAGCACATCCTAAGTTCATGGTGCATAATATATGGGGTCTCTTTGTCTTGTCACATACTTAGCCTGCTCAGTAGATGGAAATTCCTAGGATTGTAAAACACCACACCATTTAAGACAGATAATCACAAGATTAAAGCTGCATGGCAAGTTACTGGCAGGGAACTAAAAGCCAAGTGCTTAGCTAAATGTTCTTTTGTTTATGCTGTTCCTCCTTCCCACAAACTATGTGAGTAGCTAGAAATGGCTCCTGTCCCCAAGAAGCTAAAGGACGGCGTTCGAGGCTTTGGTGACTTTGACCCTGACGCTGCTTTGTGATCCCTGCAGAATGTTCGCAGAGTCTGGCTACTTAGACTTTCACCTGATCCACCGCCTTCCTCTTAGACCCTCTTCACGCGTAATGGTTGCTTCTAACAACTGCTCACTGATGTGACCCTGCTCTGATCCAGTCTGGCAAACTAGGTGTGTGGAAAAACCAAACCAGAGATTGAATTCTGAAGAAACACATTCAACAGTCGCTCTCTCCACAAATGAAGCTCACAGAAACAAAAGAATGGCATGTCACACTGTACGTCGTACCTTACAATAAATCAATATTCTGTTAAACTGAACTGATGCCATTTAACATGCTTTTTTGTCCAAGTAACATAATTTTTGTTTTCCTTCACTCTGAATCTCGCAGGAATTACTCAGAAAGCAGTTCAAATGAAGATAAAGTTTGCTTGCTTTTCCTGGAAAGTACTCAGCAGTGATTTCTGTAACTTACTAATAATCTACAGTTATATCTGAAAATGAAAGAGGAGGACAGAACTTGGCAAGCTGAGCAGAGCTTATGTGGCTGTCAGTGATACCTCGACACCAGGACTGTCTGACACTGAAGGTGAAGAGGGGCTGACTAGAAGCCCACCTCAGCCGGGCAAGCCTAGCTGTACTGGCCTTGGTAATACACGCTCATTAACATGTGTCATTTGCCATAGATTTGCCATATTTAATCATGACAGTCTTTAGATTATTGTGCCTATACGACAGATAAAAACAGGCCCACTGAGCAACTCACCCAAGGTCCACAGCTAGTAAATGGAATCTGAAACTATGTCCATGTGTGGTTCAAGGGTTCCTTCTCTCTCAATGCAGTAATGCTGTTGTCAGCAGCCTGAACCCCTAGTTACTTGCTGGAAGCTTTTGGTTTTGTCCAAAGAAGGTCTTGCTGCCCATTCAGAATCGATTTTTACTGAGCTGTAATATCAGCATAGCACATGAAAGAAAATCAACATTTGAAAAACACAGTCAACATTTCTGTACTGAATACTTATACAGAGAATTAGTAATTACAGTTTCAAGTCTTTGGCTTTGACTCGTTTTGACTTTTGCTCTTCTTCAAGCATAATCTCCAAGAGCTGATCTGAAGAAAAACATGAAAATGTATAAAAATTTCCTATTAGTAGCAGTAAGATAAAAAGTCCTGTCAAAGAACAACTTAAAATGATCTATCTTGAATTTGTATTTTAAAAAAAAAAAGAATGCATACACCCTGTTAATCAAGCACTTGGGATCAATTGCTCTTACCAGGTAACTACCTTGTAATCCTTTTGACAAGACAGGGTAATATTTGACTATTTAAACATGATCCAAGTGTCTGGGGTGACGTCAGGTTGTAGGTTACGATTCCTTTAGAAGTGCTGCATAAGCACAGAAGCAAGCTGTCTTCCCTCCCAGGATTACATGAGAATACCTGGAGGGCACTTTGCATAGTGTCTGCATGACACATGGAAAATGGTCAGTAAATGTTAACAAGTTATCATTACCTTTGATCAACAAACAGTATAGCTATTTTTCTATTCTACTCACATTTGAAAAGGGATATCCAGACACTGATAGATTATCATAAACCCTAAGGATATAGAAAACTCGTCCCAGCAAAGCTCCCCCACACCCTGACTTAGAGACAGACATGGTCTAGAAGACCTGGCCCAGGGTCTGGGGTGCAGTGGTCTCCCACCATCCCTGCTGGTTCCTGGGATCTGAACCCAGCTCAGCCAGCTTTTGCCTTTACTGCTAAAAACGCCCTCCTACCTCAGTCAAGGGTTTGCCTTGGTCACTTATTTCTCAGCTTTAGCTCTAAGCTAACACTTTTGAACCCATTTTACTGCTCAGCTCCCACCCTTATTACAGTAAAAATGGTCACACGCTCAGTGTTTTGCCCACCAGACCTGCTGGACCTTAACTGAAACTTGCTGTTAAGCCAAAACGTACATAATTATTGAAGCATTATTTATACAAGTGGTTCATTCATTTATGAGGACTTTACATTTTGGTGAGTTTTGAACAGGACCAATCTAAATTTCCACGCTGTAGAACAGATCACTTAACTAAAAATCACATCTTCTCATATGTCAGTTCATGGCCACACACAGTACAAGTCTTCCGGTACATGTCATCCTCTAGGCTTTCTTCAGCCCCATACTCATGTTGATGAGCAACTGTTTCCTTTTTCCATACACTGCTTCTTACCGCTCGCCGTAACTCTAAGGGAAAAAAAAAAGCCAACTGTTCAGTGGTGCTATTGAGCTGAATTAAAAATCCATTGCTTTTCAGCTGTGTTTAACCAAATATGGTTTATGCCTTAATTTTATAACAAGTCAAAACTAATGATACAGATTTGGCAGGCCTACTTTCTTGACTGTGGAATCTTTTTGAAAGATTGAAACAGGAGGTTCAGAAATGGGGTATGTGGATTAGAAGAACAGCAAGAAACTAGATTCAGAAGGCATGCAAAGAGCAGTTTAAGCAGCTGACTGTGGAAGGCAGGATGCCAAGAATGCGAGGGGAACCGACTGGGTGACTGAGGACAAGGACTTAAGTTCCTCACAGTCAGGAGCTGCTTCTCTAAGAGGCAAGTCAAACTGCAAGAAAACGAGAAAGCCAAGAACCCCGCCACTCCGCTGATGTTCACCTTAGAAAAGCTGCTCCTGCAACCGACCTTATGTCTACTGAGTTCTTTATTTTATAGAATGACAGCAGTATTTTAGGAGACAAGTTGCTAGGGATTGTTACAAAGAGAACTACAGAGTTATTTTACTTCATTTTATTTTGCAGGTAGGAAAAGTGAACAAAGATATGAATAGCAGGGGAACCCAGGTCATGTATTCCAACGTTGAGAACTTTTCCTACTTCATCATACAAAACAGCATTTTCACAAAGAAAAGAATCGTGCTGGATGCTCTGAAAAGCACCCAGGACATGCTAAAGTTCACACTGCATGTTACCTGAAGAAACCAAATACTTTGTGTTAATTAGAAACTAAGTTAATAACATCTCAGTTTCTAGTTTAATGAATAAAAAGCAGATTTCCTCTACTCTGACCAATGATCCAGCATTGTCTTTGATGGCTGCCCTACCTAAGGGAGAGTATGATCATTACCTTCTATGATCTCAACCTTAAAAACCAAAGTGCACCAAGTAATCACACATTTTCTTTCACCCATTTTACTATAGTATCAAAATACCACTTGAGTCTTTTTATGTTTAGCCTTTACTATATCATATGGATAAGCAAACAAACAAGGCTATGTATCAGGCACTGTCGTGAAGTACTTTATATAAACACATTCAGTCCTCGCAACACTTTGTAGCAAGTACAGCTATCATCCCAGTTTCACAGATGAGGACCCTAGCGCACAGACGGGTGACCTAAGCTGTGCCCGAGGTCAGGCAGGCGGGGGCACAGTCCGGCTCAGTCCGTGTTCTTAGCCGCCAGGCTGGGCTGCCTTCCCGTAGCGTCCACCAGGAAAAGCGCTCTATCTCAGGCTACTTTCAGGCTTCAGTGTACACACTTCTAGATAGTTTGTATCTATCATGTTCTTCTAAACTCTAATCTTTATTCCTATATCCTCCCATATTCTGAAGAACCTTATTTTAAAGTAGGATATTTTTAAAATAAAAAACGGTATGCTAACCAGAACTGCACAGATACCTCATGGTTTCAGATAATGACAAGAAGATGTTTCTGTTCAAGTTCCAGTACCTACTTTTCAACTTTGTTCTGATGTAAAGTATTCCGGCCACTTCTTTACTACCCAATGAAGACAATCTCTCAGAATGTGACTGCATGCCGAACACCAAGCTAACCTCTGCCCCATCTGAGCATTCTGTGAACTTGAGAGATAAGAAAATTGTTTTCTTAACACTAAAAGAATACTTAACAAAAATATACCTTACTATCCATAATTGTCACAACTGAACATAATGTTTTATTCTGACTTCATGGCTTTTCTTCCCCATTCTTCAGCTAACCTATCAAGGTCTATAATGACAAGAACAAAGCCTGTCTTTAGGACATTCCTGAAAAACTTGTGCTAAAAAGGAAGTAATAAAAAAAATTTAATAAAAACCTGCTGTCTCATTTTCTGCCACTTTTCTCCACCTGAACAATCTAGTCCTAGAGCCATGAGGAGGAGCAAGTAAAGCCAGCATCTGTGGTAGGGTGGGCAGAGCCCAAGACAAATGAGGAGGGTCTCCTAGAGAGGAGGCAGCACGTGAAGGGGACTTAGTTACATCCAGGAGCACCAATCAAATAACTACACATATTATAAAGGATAGTGGAAATCAGCTTCTGACTGTCAGAGAAAGGAGTTACAAATAAGGAAAGGGAGAAAACCAGAATAAACCCTAAATTTTGGATTAGAGCTGGGTGTGAACTCAAGGTTTCAACTATACATTATAGATATATAGTGTATATTTATTGGCCACCTGATGCGAAGAGCTGACTCATTGGAAATGGCCCTGATGCTGGGAAAGATTGAAGGCAGGAGGAAAAGGGGATGACAGAGAATGAGATGGTTGGATGGCATCACTGACTCGATGGACTTGAGTCTGAGCAAGCTCTGGAGTTGGTGGTGATGGACAGGGAAGGCTGGGGTGCTGCAGTCCATGGAGTTGCAAAGAGTCAGACACGACTGAGCGACTCAACTGAACTGATACATATGTACGTGTTTTGAGCTAGAAAGGTGTGCTCAAAGAATATGAAGACATGCCAAAAGGACACAAGAGCTGGTCTGGAGAGACTTCTGTTGGCCTAAATCTGAGGCAGTTTGAACACCAAAATAATTGAGGGCAGAAATTAACCAAAAGCCACTGAGAAGAACAGGAATTAATGAATCCATACCAGTAACAAATAAGTAGGGGAGAGGATGCTATCAGGGCTGACCTCCAACTGTTAAATGTGGAATGAGTGCTGAAGTCAGAAAACAGTCTTTGCAACCAGCATCCTAGGTTCAGGCAAGAACACCCATGGATGGATGCTAAATTCAGGGGAAGTGTTGAACAGAAGCAGGCACTTACATGGTCTTACAGGACTTTAGCCTATCAAATAAAAAATAAATACATCACCGCTAAGGGCAGATGGATATCACATGCCTCCAGACATGATACCCTGGAAAAGTCACATCAGTTGTGTACTACCCAACCTGAAATGAATAACCTGAATCTGACCATCAGGAAACATCAGAAAAACCCCACATGAAAAACATTACTGCAAAAAAGATAGGCAGAGGAAGGGGAAAGACTTCCTGAAAAATGCCAGTGTCATAAACGATAAAGGCTATGAAAATATCCCAGAATAAAGAAATTCAGAAAGACGTGGCACCTAAAGACAGGACCTGGCCCTAGACTAGACTTTACACTGGGTGAATAAACTACACAGGACATAACTGGGCCAACTAACAAAGCTGGAATAAGGATGACTAAATAAACATATAGATACTAAACTTTTGTAAGACACTCTTCCTATTCTTTGGAAATTCACATTTTTAGTATTTAGGGATAAAAAAGGCTGGCAGTGTACACAACCTACTCTTAAACGGTTCAGAAAAAGAAATGTGCAGAGAATGCATATGGCATGAAGTGCCAACAATGGTAAATCCAGGTGGAGGATATGCGGGTGTCCCTTGTGCCACTCTTATCCTTGGGGTTTTATGTAAGTTTGAAATCATTTCCAAGGAAAAACATTTTTAAAAAGACAGAAGCTAGATTGAAGGGACATCCACTGGCCAAATTTGGGCATTAAGATGAATAATGGAAAGAAGTACAACAAGGCCATATGCTGTCACCCTGCTTATTTAATTTCTATGCAGAGTACATCACGAGACATGCCAGGCTGGATGAATCACAAGCTGGAATCAAGATTGCCGGGAGAAATAACCACCTCAGATAGGCAGATGATGCCACTCTTAACTGCAGAATGTGAAGAGGAACTAAACAGCCTCTTGAGGGCGAAAGAGTGAAAAGGCTGGCTTGAAACACAACATTAAAAAAAGTAAGAATCATGGCATTCAGTCCCATCAGTTCATGGCAAACAGAAGGGGGAACAGTGGAAGAAATGACAGATTTTGTTTCTTGGGTTCCAAAATCACTGTGGATGGAGACAAACCTATACAGCATATTAAAAAGCAGAGGCATCATTTTGCCAACAAAGGTTTGTATAGTCAAAGTTACGGTTTTTTCAGTAATCACATACAGATGTGACACTGACCCATAAGGAAGGCTGAGCACCAAAGAACTGATGCTTTCAGAAAACTGTGGTGCTGGATAAGACTCTTGAGAATCCCTTGGGCTGCAAAGAGAGCAAACCAGTCAATCCTAAAGGAAATCAACCCTGAATATTCACTGAAAGGATTACTGCTGAAGCTGCAATACTCTGGCCGCCTGACATGAAGAGCCAGCTCAGTGGAAAAGACCCTACTCCTGGCAAAGACTGAAGGCAAAAGGAGAAGGGGCTGGCAGAGGAGAAGATGGTTAGACAGCATCACTGACTCAATGGACACGAATCTGAGCAAACTCCCGGAGACAGTGGAGGACAGAGGAGCCTGGCGTGCTGCAGTCCCTGATGCCGCAGAGTCAGACACAACTTCAGTGTCTCAGCAGCAGCAAAGAGCGGACAGACTGTGATACTGACTGGAGAATGAGAAGCCACGATTCCAACCGCCACTAAACACAGCTCTTCTTTCCAAAAGAGACCAGATAACAGCTGTAGAAATGACAGAGATAGAAAGTCACCGCTTATATTTACCCTAATAGTAACCGACTCACTCAGACGAGACTCAACCCGTGTGCTAAAACCACTGAATGGAACTTAAGGAGTGAGAGAGTCACACAGTGTTGAGTCGCCCCACAGATTTTCTGTTAATTATAAAGGGGAGGGTCCCTTTGCAATGGGGAAATCCGGCAGATACTGCCTCCGTTAAGTGACACCACGTGTCTCCTAGGTGACTGATCTGAATATAGTCACGAGAAAACAAACTGCTAATAAACCAGATGGAGGGACATTTTGGAAAATGGGTAGCCTGGACTCTTCAAAAATTATAATAAAAGGAAAAGGCTGAGGAAAAAAAGAGACTCTGGATATGTATCATCCTTGATGGGCCCCTGGATCCAACAACTGAAAAGCTATAAAGGACATTGGAACACCTGGGGAGAGACCACATAGATTACATGCTGGGTAACAGCGTTATATTAATGTACAGTTTGAGTGTGGTATTTTTTAGTCAGCAGAAAAATGTCCTCGTTTATAGTAGATCAATGCTGAAGTATTAAGAATCACAGTGTCTGCAAATAACTCTTAAATGGCTCAGCAAAATGTGTGTGAATGAATGAGAAAAACGCAAGTGGAAAAATGTCAACATCTGGTGAAATAAAGCATTTGTTTAATTACAGATTAGTAATAGTTTTTCACATTTCTTCATTTAAGCAACTTAAAATTTCGGAAAGTAGAGGTCAACCACTACTGCTGAGACTGACAAGAGGGCAGCAAGGCCAGAGGCCAGCAGCGTGGGAGACGGCCCGCCAGGCCTCGGGGGAGCCGGGCACCCCGGGGGGGAGGGGTGTGCCAGGCAGGCCGGAAAAGCCCGAGACCGCAGGAGGCAGCAGCAGTTTGCCATGTTCCCACCTCCTGGTCCCGCTGGCCTAGAATTTCACAATGCAGCGAACGGTGGACCACTTCTGTTGGAAGGTTCCAAAAATGCTCACGGTAACCATCAGTCTTGCTACTGCCTATCTTCAGAGACTGCTTCTATTTTTTTACCCAAAGACGTTTTCCCCTAAATGCTTGTTTCAGTGAAAAATATATTTTATACCACTCTAAAATTTGTATTTCATCCAGTTTAGTATCTTAATTTTGCAAAAGAGGCAGCCTGTATTCAAAGAAGCCCAGTGCTGCTTATGAGGAAGACTCACAATAAAAACCAGTGGAGGGAGACCATGGACTGCGAGATACCTGACGGGACCCAGGGCGGGAAGTTCGGACACAGGGTGCCCGCCGGTAACTAGAGGGGGAAAACTGCAAGGAAGTAACACCACATAAGAAGCTTTGATCTTACTTTGTCCTCCAGAAACCAAGGATAGGAAACTGTGTCCTCCCAACTCTCCCAAGAGAAGCCCCCAAATACCCATAAATATAACCACAGGCCCAGAATGTAAAATGTTCACAAACTGAGGAGGAGCCCCCAAATAGGATTTTCTTACCCACTTGTTTTGGGGGAGAAAAGTGGACACTAACAAACGATGAAAAGTAATCACTCCTTTTTTAAAAAGAGGGCTAACCTCTAGCAGTATTAAGAGAAAGCTGAGTATAACTAAAGAAAAACTTTACAGCCACCTTATCTGGGGACAGGAGCTGTGCAAACCCAGAATGTTCTGTGTGTCTGCACCAGTTCAAAGTTCCCATCCAATATCCAGGCCAACGCATATCGCCTTTATAAAAACCTAGCTAAACTAAGCACCAGGGATGCCATCATTTCTACTTCTGCCTTCTCAGGTCTAAGACAGTCAATGTGAATTTGAACAATTTGAATTTGCCAACAAGAAAATTCTCTTTCACTTTATCTAAATTTATACATACACACACACACACCTTATATACTATCTATAATTTTCTTCTCTAGTAAGATCAAGTCTTTCTCAAATTGCTAAAGTAGAAGACCAAATTCTAAAAGCAGGTAAATGTAATCTCTTACCTTTCTATAAAGAAGTAAACTTTGTGTCAGCGTCTTTGTGGATCAAAATCAGAAGACCAAGAGGAACCAGGTTCCGCTTTCTTTCAACTAAAAAAACTTTCAGACTTGCTTCTCCTCCTCTCTGTCCTGAGCCTTCTGAGCCAAGTGCACAGTCAGCCCCTCGTCTCTAACCTCTAGCGTCTACGCCACTCTCCGCCCTCTGTGGCCTAGTCAGGCGGACGGGAACATCGCACCAGCCTCTGAAGCAAATCAACAAGAAGCCATAGTTAAAGCAGGCACGGCACGGACTCTGCACATTAAACACCAGAAGACGATGGACTGATGCTTATACAACCCAGAGAGAACTCAGGTTTTCAAATGCGAGAGAAACAGAAAAACATGCTTAGATTTGTAATGGGGTCTTAGAAAATATACCCCTCTAGTAACCACTTGGAAAAATTTCCTCAAAAAACATGCTTCATCCAAACAAGGAATAAACTAAAGAAACCAGTCATAAGAGCTCCAGGAAAAACTTCAGGGAAAACTCAAAATCTTCAAGGATGAGGAAAATGCACAGAAGTTCATCTGGTGGTTAATAGCAGAAATTTAACACAGTGAGAAATATAGTCAATTATATTTGAGTTTATACTTTTTAAAAATTATCTAGGCTAATTGTGTAAATCTTGAAAGAAATGTTCTATTCATGCTATTTAGTAGGTGTGATTATCTTAATAGAACTGTTTTATTTAAAAAATTAAACAGATGCCTTTTGTTATCAGTCAAATTATCAGAATTCAGCCGCCTTTAGAGAACATCTTGACCAAACTACACAAACAGTATCTAAGTAAAATTACAGACAGACCCTTTTCAAAAAGTATTTTACTCTGAAGGTACAAGTTCCTAATTCCTTTATCTGTTTATTATCGTCTATGCCAAAAGACACAGGGAAGTGGTTTAAAGAGGCAGCTGAAAGCACGAGCTTAGAAGATTCAAGGAGCTGGAGTTAACAGAAGTCCGTCTGCGAATGCGCCCTCCTCTTCCACACCCTTAAGGTGTTGCCTTGCCCCTCCCATCAAGGGGGTCCCTGATGCTGGAAGAGAGGAAAGCCTGGCATAAAACATGGAAGAGATTAAAGAGAAGCACCAAATTCCAAAGAAGCCTTTCCAAATCCTCTCAATTGGTCCCAGGTATTTTGGAAGACTGCGGTACAGCAGTGGCTAATGTGGGGATGATTCTTCAAAGAAATCCTCTTACATGGTACAGTCTGCTATAGGAAACCTCTCTACAAAGCCATAAAAATGTGCTTACTCTCTGATTCAGGAAGCATGTTAAATAACTATAATTTATATAGAGATGTATTTATCATGAGACTACCTGTCTTAATAAACTTCTTTTAAATTCTACTTTGATTTTTATTCTTCACTGTTAAGTCTATCAATTTATATATCAAAATTTTCATTTGTAATCAAAATTAAGACTGTTAAAATGGAAACTTGAAACACACCTAACTCTTCTTCCCCATCCAATAGTTAAAGAATAAAGTAATAACTGACAAATACATGAACATTTACACCAAGTCCAAGGATATATAAGTGAATTTTTTACCTGCCTCCATTATGTAACATCTATCGGGGAAAACATGAAGCTTTTCCCTAAAGAGTACTCTTCCACAGCAGCACATGCCGAGCTGCCCCGTTCTGGTAACAGGTATAATATCGCACAGTAGTATTACCTACGGGATAGCACTCTGCCCTAGTTCTTGTCTAAGCAACTTACATATAATGTCTCATTGATTCCTTACAAAAACTTACATAAGGTGGTGGTATCATCATTTTTATAGTTGAAGAAACCGAGATACACAGGTAAAGGGCCGATAAACTGTTTATGAACTTCATAAATCTCCAATGGTGCTTCCGTTTTTACATTAAAAAAAATTTTAAGGGCCTATGCATAAAAGAGGACTGGAAAAATAGACATTAAACTGTTACTGATGACTGTCCCTGAGTAGCATAATTATGGGATAGAAGTTCTTTGTAGTTTTCTAACTTCTCTGTACTGCACATGAATTACTCTTATAGTGAAAAGGTGGAAAGCAGTCCCTCACAATAAGAAACAAAGTAGGCTGACATTCAATTTTTTTTTGGCTCTTTTGTTTGTCTTTAAGACATCTCAGCTGTCTTCATTCACCCTCCAAAACCTCTTCTAAATCCTCAAAAATAAGCAAAGTTACTTCTGATGGCTAAGACACTCATTTTAAATGCATCTATGCAGTATATGTATAACCCTGTATATACAGAGAATGTGAGCTGTCTGCATTCACCAGACACCACAGCGGGGCCCCACGGCTGCTGAGGAACACGCGAGCTTGTTGAAGACTCTCTGGGGCTTCTGTGCCGCGGCAACGAGCGTTCTCTGCGCTCCCCTAACACCCCATGATCATCACCATCACAGCACTTATCACATCACCATAACTTTACCAGCTCTTCTCCTCTGATAACTGTGATTTCAGCATTTGTATTAGCACTGTGCCTGGGACACAGTGATTGTTGGATACACTAACGGACAGATGGACAGACAGACTTCTGCACATATGCACACACGGATGGATGGATGGACAAATAAATAGAGACAGGTGGACAAAGGAATGGAGAGTAACACAGACCGACAGATGCATGGTCAGAGGAGTGAATGCAGACTCTCAGGCATGAAATCTTGGCTCCAGTCCCAACTTTCCAGCAACTATGTAACAAGTCACTCTACCTTTCCAGGTCTTTTTTTCATATAAAAATAAAAATGATTAGACAGACTATCTGACATTAGAAGGTACCTTCTAGTTGTTAAGTCAGATGACTAAGACTTAACGACATTGCCCCTTCAGGTTAAGCAATTAGAGAGGTTTGCTGGTAGAAATCTTCACTTTGGATAACCCTGTGGGTCATATTTAAGACTGAATTGATGCCAAATCCTTAACCAGAGGCACATCCCTGACCCTACTACCATTCCTATACAAAACCATGATTCACTTTAAGATGAAGGCTTACATGTTTTTTTAGAATTGCAGTATTGTGAGGTTTGGACTTAAGACTCTCAAACACCAACCTACCCAAACTTTAAGCCTTTTGTTCTTAAATTTATGGAAAAAAATTAAAATCCAATTTTATCTTTAAACTGGAAGAACTCAGCTAAAGGCTTTTTGCGAAGCAGCAGAGCACAGTCCTTCATGATGTAAATGCAGCCACTTACCTTTTACTTTTTTATCAAACTTCTTCTGTTTCATTTTTTCTCGATTTTTCTGTCGAACTTCCTTCGCTTCTTCTAATGCTTCCTGACTACCCCAAACTTCAAGAGACCTCTTCACAATCTGAAATACAGAATCCATATTTAAATTAGTTGTGATTCATTGCTGTAAAATAGTTATAATTATTAAATCCATAGGTCCCAAAGAGTGATCAGGTGTAATTTTATAAATATTTGAAATTTAAAAGATTTTACATATTGGTTAAGGGAAAAAAATCCAATAATATCTATATCTAAACTTATGAAACCCTCAGTAAATAAATGATGAATCAGATTACATACATGTGAAGCACAATAGAATCGGGGATGCCTGTGTGTATAAATAAAGCTGCCCTCTGAGTGCACTTGCTTTTTTGTATTCACATGAATCAAAGATTTGATGAATTTTGGCAGGATCACCAAAAAAAACAATTGCTAACCAATTAGCCATAGCAGATCTAAATATAAGGTCATCTCTCAAAATCTCTCATCATAGGAAATCAAACAATGCTACACTACTTCTGAATCAATAACAGTTTACATCCATTCAACTAATTTCTGATCTTCAGAATATGAATTCTTTTTTACAACTTTGGTAGCTGAATGATCTAAAAAGTCTTTATTCTAGTTTAAAACCTTTGAATTTAATATATCTAAAATACATAAAATATTAAATATTATAAAGAGTATGTACATAAAAATACTCTTTGCAAGCATTTATTTACACTTAGGGAAATAATATACACACTGAGAGACTACTCGAGATATCTCTCACAACATGTAAAGGGGACCAAAATGTCCATCAATGAAGCCAAAATGAAATTTCTTAACACAAAGTGATATATACTGTTATTTCATAAATTCTAACATCACATTTTCCACAATTTTAACATCCCTGAAAATGCTGCATCACTAATGTAGTTAATGGCATTTTAACAACTGATTCAAAAAATGGTTCAGAAGAATTGGACTCTGAACGTAAGGAAGTTTAGGAATACCTTAATAAATCTGTGGTACCTGCATTTTCCTTTTGAAGTACACACAAGCATGACTTATAGCAAAAGGGAAAAAAGCTACAGTAAGTCTAATGACACCAGTTCAGTAAAATAAAAGCACCAAGTGAAAAGAAAGCACTGGGTTTGTTTAAACACCAGGACTTTCCTTCCATTTTTAATGGTACATAAAATAACGGTGAGCCTTTTAATCAACAGTGTCTAACACTTAGTGAAAATCCAGTATATGTTTGGTTTTACACGTGGTTTCTTTATTAGAACATACAGGATTTTCTAGTATATTCCAATCAAACTGTGCTCTAAAGCAATGCCTCCCAGTATTTTTTACATAATGGCATGAAAAAGAGCATTATGATATCTTTGCCATTCTGGGGCAGATACAGGAAACTGGAATTAGATTCTAGGCATTTGGGAAATTCCTAAATTTTTTTTTATGATTTTATTTGGGGGGTGGGTGGGCAAGGGAAACACGGGCTGACTTCTCTATTTCAAGCTTTCTTTAGTTTCCAAAGGCTACTTCCAACATGACCCAACAGTAATAGATTTGCTCCAAAGTGCTACATCAAAAACATAATAAACAAACGTGCTATTTAATGTCGTTACGTATGACTATGACTCATGCAAAACAATAAAACAAACAGGATCTTTTTAAGTCAGTAAGTAAAAACGAAACTAACTATAACTAGTTTGTTGCTAAAACATCACCTAAACGAAGGTTTAAAATGACTGAATATAACTTATTAGAGACCTGTAATTTTAAGTAGAGTTTCATATCACCCCACTGTGAATGATGAGGATTCTTCTTCACAATAAATTTAAGAGCTGGTTCTCTTTTTTCTAAATCACAATCTTTCAGAAGGTATTCTTGTTTTGCTTCTGTTTTAGTTATAAGCTTGTGTTTATCATCAGCATCTCTGAAAACAGATTAAGTCCATTACATAAAGTAAATAAATTTTCAAGTACCTCCAAAACCTAGAGGCATACATGCCAAAAGAAACATACAAATGCTTTTTCCTAAAACACTCATGGTCAGATTAGCAGCATAAGAATTCCAACAGAAAAATATTTTATTAATTCTGAGAAGCTGTGTCAGCAACAGGTCCATGTTATTTAACTTTTTAAGAATTTCTTTTTACTTAAGTTTCTCTTTTCCACAAGGAATTTGAAAAGACATGAGTACAGCAAATATAAATGATGACAAAATATAAAGCTTAAAGTCAGGATATAAGGAATATAAATACACAAGGTCCAACTGCACCAGACACAGGTGAGTTTCCAGTTGGCTATTTCTCAAGGCCCAGGTGAAAATGGAGACACAGAAAATGGCATAGCTCTTCTCATTCACTGGTTCTCCATCTCCATGCTAGGTACTATTCAAGGCACGCAGAATAAAGGAAATAAAATAAAACTTGTTTTCATGAAACTTACATTCTAGTTAGGAAAAGACAATCAATAAGCAAACATGACGACAGATAAAAGTGCTATAAAGTAATACAAAGCACAGTAAAGGCATAGAAATTTCCAGAGACTGGGTAATCAGAGAAGGCCACTGGTGAGGAGGTATTCAAGCAGGGCCTTTAAGAAGTCAGAGAACAATTCCGAATAGCTAGAGAAAAAATATCTCTAGCAGAGACAAGAGTAAATGCAAAAGCTCTAGGACAGGAGTGTGCTTTGCAAATGGAGTTCATAGCAAGACGGCCAGTGTGACCAGAATGCTTAAAGTTAAGTGATGGTGAGGAGTGACAGGAGATAGATAGGCAGGGGTCTTGTGAGTAATGGTGAAGACAATTTTATTCTGAATAGATTCAGTGCAGTTCAGTCCAGTAGCTCAGTCGTGTCCGACTCTTTGCAGCTCCATGGACTGCAGCACACCAGGCCTCCCTGTCCATCACCAACTCCCAGAGTTTACTCAAACTCATGTCCATCGAGTCAGTGATGCCATCCAACCATCTCACCCTCTGTCGTCCCCTTCTCCTTCTGCCTTCAATCTTTCCCAGCATCAGGATCTTTTCAAATGAGTCAGTTCTTCACATCAGGTGACCAAAGTATTGGAATTTCAGCTTCAGCATCAGTCCTTCCATTGAATATCCAGGACTGATCTCCTTTAAGATGGACTGGTTCGATCTCCTTGCAGCCCAAAGGACTCTCAAGAGTCCTCTCCAACACCACAGTTCTAAAGCATCAGTTCTTCAGCACTCAGCTTTCTTTACAGTCCAACTCTCACATCCATACATGACTACTGGAAAAACTGTAGCCTTAACTAAATGGACCTTTGTTGGCAAAGTAACGTCTCTGCTTTTTAATATGCTGTCTAGGTTGGTCATAGCTTTTCTTCCAAGAAGGAAGCGTCTTTTAATTTCATGGCTGCAGTCACCATCTGCAATGATTTTGGAGCCCCAAAAAATAAAGTCTGACACTGTTTCCACTGTTTCCCCATCTATTTGCCATGAAGTGATGGGGAGGGATGGCATGATCTTAGTTTTCTGAATGCTGAGTTTTAAGCCAACTTTCTCACTCTCCTCTTTCACCTTCATCAAGAGACTCTTTAGCTCTTCTTCAATTTCTTCCATAAGGGTGGTGTCATCTGCATGTCTGAGGTTATTGATATTTCTCCCAGCAATCCTGATTCCAGCATGTGCTTCATCCAGCCCAACATTTTGCATGATATACTCTGCTGCTGCTAAGTCGCTTCAGTCGTGTCCAACTCTGTGTGACCCCATAAATGGCAGCCCACCAGGCTCCGCCGGCCCTGGGATACTCCAGGCAAGAACACTGGAGTAGGTTGCCATTTCCTTCTCCAATGCATGAAAGTGAAAAGTGAAAGTAAAGTCGCTCAGTCATGTCCAACTCTTAGCGACCCCATGGACTGCAGCCTACCAGGCTCCTCCATCCATGGAATTTTCCAGACAAGAGTAATGGAGTGGGTTGCCATTGCCTTCTCCGATGTACTCTGCATATAAGTTAAATAAGCAAGAGCACAATATACAGCCTTGCCGTACTCCTTTCCCGATTCGAAGCCAGTCTGTTGTTCCATGTACAGTTCTAACTGTTGCTTCTTGACCTGCATACAGATTCCTCTGCCTTTTCTAAGTCCAGCTTGAACATCTGGAAGTTCATGACTCATGTCCTGTTGAATCTGAATGAATCAGAAACTGTTAAGAAGCCTTGAGTAAAAGGCTCCAGGAGAAAAAACTAACGGTGCAGAAGTGGGAGGAGAGGCTGGTTAGACGGCTGCACGCGGTGGTCCAGGTAAGAACCGCTGGGGGACCAGCCTAAGGCATGACGGTACAGAGAATGGAAAATGAACAGATTCAGGATATGGCTGAAGCCCTTAAACACAGCACCAGATGGATTTGGAATTAAACATGGAACACAGAAGCCACCAATGAATGAAGCTGTCCTTTACTGAAACAGTGAACCCTGAAGAGTATAGGGCAGGGGAGGGGAGGGGGAGGACAGTTAATAACCAAGAATAACTTCAAGATGACGAAATAATTTGGAAGTATAAACCAAAGGAAGGAAAACTATCATTGTATGAATTCTATCATTGTCGAAGATGTTGGGAAAACACAGAATGGATGGCTATATTCCCAATTATGTTTAAACTTCTCAACTATTTTTCCAGACTGCTACATGCGCTGTGCTCACTCCGTCATATCCGGCTCTCTGCAGCCCCATGGAGCCCACCAGGCTCCTCTGTCCGTGGAACTTTCCAGGCAAGAATACTGGAGTGGGTTGCCGTTTCCTGCTCCAGCAGACTACTACATGACTTTCTTTAAGTTGATGGTCACTGGCTTCCATTTTCTCGAGGAAAAAAGTTCCATGCGGTAAGCTAGTTCCAGAATGCTATCCGCGCTTTAACGAGATGACACTGTGGCCCTTAACCACGGCGTGCACCGATGACATTATTATGCGTAAACACTGGGAACAGAGCTTATGATTCTAATTCCAACGGGTACCAGAACATTTCCCATCACGGATCATGAGACCAGAAACACCTCCCGTTCTATCTTCCAAGGATTCTACTTCGCAACAGGTCGATGGTGCCGGCTCCCAACGTCTGCAGCAGGGACTCTGAAAGGGCAGGTGCGCCAGGCACGTGAGCAGTTGATCTGGGGCTGAACATGTAAGAAGTGGGCGCAGGGAGCAGATAGGAGGCTGAGTGAGAACCCGAGGCGGGATCTTCAGGTGCGAGAGACAGCAGCACAGGACTGGGCCGAGGTGAGCAGGGGGCACAGAACCAGGCAGAGCAGTGAGGGGCAGTCCGTGGGACACAAAAGAGAGGGAGGCCAGGAGAGAAAAAGGAATGACAGGAGAATCTGATTCGTCCCCATCTATGCGCTCCCCTGCCAACTCAGGAGAACAGAAAACGAGTGGAAAGAGGTGTTCTGAGCACCAGCAGGGTGGTTACACTCTCCTCCTCTCACGGAGGTGCCAGTCCTCTCACCAAGGGGGTCCCACGGCGGTCAAAGAGAGAAAAAGACAAATGGATCCTTCGGGGTGGGGTAAGAGAAGGATTAGGAACCTGCTACTAAGAGATGGTTAAAGAAAAAAGCAAAAGGACATATCCACGGCAGACCCAGGCCATCCTTCCTATTGATGTGGCATGACTGGTAAGCACAGGCTTCCTGTATTTTTTTGGCAAAATGGAAAACATAAAAATTTTAGGAAACTTTCAAAACAAAAAAATTATGAAAATGTTGAATCCAAATCGATCAAATCATTATTTTGCCCTAAACCGACATGCAAACGTTAAACTTCAGTAATTTAGAACATGCTCTGAAATAAAAATAAGTACCTGCAATTATCACAAGTTGCCAAATCAAAGTGGTTCATAAGGTAAGAATCCATGAACTCTTTACCACATTCTTCACATATAACATAATCAAATTCCATAACAGGTCCTAAAGAATGGAAAATTCATTCTTAAGTTTCCTTTTTGTGTGTAATTAGAATACATTTTCCTTTATTTTATTAGCTTACGAAATTATTTTATGACTGATACAAATATATTTACATATGACAACATAAAACTTGAAGTAATCTTCCATTTATTTAAAAAAATTTTACAGGAAAAAAGAAATGAGAAAGGAAATAATATAAAGGAAAAAACTATCAACTTATTCAGTACTGTTGAACACAAACCACACATAAAGTACTTGTATTATTAATACTTCTGTATTGCTGCTATAACAATTTACTACAAATTTAGGGGCTGAAATAACACAAACTTATTTTATCACAGTCTGGAGTTTATACGTCTGACACAGGTCTCAGTGGGCTAGAGGCAAGTTGTTGGCAGAGTTGCGCTCGTTTCTAGAGGTTTTGGAGGGACAATCTATCACCCTGCCATTTCCAGTTATAGAGGCCACCTGCATTCCTTGACTCATGACTCCCTTCCTCCATCTTCAAAGCCAGCAAACTGTAGCTTCTTATATCACTATGACTTCTTCCATGATCACATCTACCCCAGACTTTCTCCTGCCTCTCTCCTACTTTTAAGGGTGCTTGTGATTACAGCTGGATAACCCAGAATAATCTCCTCACCTCAAGGTCTTTAACCTTAATTTTATCTGCAAAGTGCCTTTTGCTCTGTAAGGTAATAAATTCACAGCTTCCAGGCTGATTAGAAGGTGCGCATTGCTGGGGACCATTACTCAGCCTACCACAGTACTGCTGAGAGCACAAAGATTAGTCCCAAGGTGGAAGCAAGGCGGGGGAGCTGCTTACACATAAGGGAGATGGACATAACATATAACACAGAAAAGAACGGTGAAGAGCAAAACAAAAGTAAAAAAGAGACAATACAGAATTCACTTTCAAGTGGGAAACTCCCTCCATTCCACCTCCTACCAACAGAGTAAATGGCTTCCTCTTCATCTGTCTCCACTACTAGATTGAAAATCTCTAAAGGGCAGAGATTGTACTTAAGCTATACAACCTCAACACCCACTATGGAAACTACTCCAGGTAAAGTAAAGCAGAATTTTTTAAAAAGATTTCAAATACCTAGCTAAGGGTCTTTATCCTATAGAATTGTTTTCTTTTTATCAGCAAATCTGAAAGTTTTACTAATAAGTCTTTAGGATGACTGCCACTGCCCACCCCCCAACTCTGAGAACTGCCACTAGTCCCAGTGGGAAGAAAGATGGAGTTGTCATTTGTAATTCGGTCAATGTATTCCTATCACTGCCTCTCCTTACCTACTTCCAACACAAGAAGGTCAATTAATATTTGAGCACTTCTTAATCTCACTAATCTCCAAACCCTAACAACCCAAGTTACCAGATGTATGATTTGCAAATATTTTCCCTCATTCAGTAGGTGGTCTTTTCGAAGGTTTCCTTTGCTATGTGGAAGCTTTTTAATCTGACCCATTTGTTTAACAGATCTGTTTCTTTTTTAAATTTTTAAAAAATATATCAGCTATAATTTATTTAAAGCTTTATTTTCAATTATGAAGGTTCTGCCTTTATTGCCTCTGCTTTTGGTGTCATATCCAAAAATATCATTAGCAAGACCAATGTCAAGGAGCTTTTCATGTTTTCTTCTAGGAGTTTTATGGTTTGTCTTACATTTAAATTTTTCGTCTATTTTGAGTTATTTTGTATGATGTACGACAGTGGCCTTATTTCATTCTTTTCCATGTGACTGTCCAGTTTTCCCAACTCCATTAATGTCCTTTCTCTATTGTATATTCTAGGCTCCTTTACCATAAATTAACTGACCATATGTGTAGGTTTTTTCTGGGCTCTCTCTTCTGTTCCACTGATCTATGTGTCTGTTTTTATGCCAGTATCATACTTATTTTCATTATGATGGCTTTGAAATATAATTTGAAATCAGGGAGCATGAGGTCTCCAGTTCTGTCCTTCTTTTTCAAGATTCAATGGCCATTCAGGGTCTTTCATTGTTCATGTGAATTAAAAATTTTTTCTATTTCTGTGGGAAAATGCTATTGGAATTTTGGCCGGGCCTGCACTGATTCTGTAGATTGCTTTAGGTACTCTGGACATTTTAACATTAGTAATTCTTCCAACCCAGGAGCATAGAATGTCTTTCCATTTAGTTGTGTCTTCTTCCATTTCTGTCTTACAGTTTTCAGTGTACAAGTATTTCACCTCCTTGGTTAAATTTATTCCTAGGTATTTTATTATTTCTGATAAATAGGCAGCTGTAAATAGGACTGTTTTCTTAATTTCTCTTTCTGATAGTTCACTAGTAGTGTACAGAAATGCAACAGATTTCTGTGTATTGATTTTGTTTCCTGAAACTTTACTGAGTACATTTATTAGTTTACACATACACATATGTATATACATATACATGTTTCAGAAACCATGAGTTCGTTCATACCCATGATTTTAATCTATCCAATTTTGATCCATTCCCATAGGCTTCTTTCTTGCCTTCTCCCATTCTATATTTGTATGCCCCTTCTTCCACAATGAGAACCCTCGCTCCCAACATCAAGAAATACATTCGTCTATTTGAGCCATTAATACATCTAAAATAGTCTCCAAATTGCTATAATATGAGTTCAGGAATGTTGCAGTGTTTTCCCTTACCCCACCAATCTCAAACTGAGGATATACTGTCAAATACTATGCTCATAAATCATTTGGACTAGCTCCTTCTGTCCTCCCCCTCTTCAATATGTGTTAATTCATTTGGAAAAATACATCCGCTTGTTTATTTGCTTTTAGGTTGTTTACTGTTTCTATATATGTTAACTTAACTTTTTTTTAAATATGTAAACTTTACCAGGAGTATACATACTATTGGGCCAGTTACCCTACTGCTGTGAATCGGAGAACTGGACAAAAGTTTACCTTCAAATATATTCACTGCAGTAATAATTATTAGAATAGAGAAAAGAAACAAAAGAGCTGCATTTAAATGAACCATGGCACAGCCATCAAATGGAATATTATGTAGCCATTAAAAAGAAAGCTCTGAAAGAATATTTGAGAAATGGGGAAACCACTTTTCCTCTAAACATAAAGAATGTGATAAATTTTATCTCTTGCATTCAAGACCCTCATTTCAACCTATCAAGATAATTTTAAGTATTTATTCTATCAACCTATTATAAGACTGAGAGCATCAACTCTTAAGCATATAAACCACATTTTTAAATGAATCTGCCAAATCTGTTTAATTTTTAATCTACTAGCAAAACCGCCAAATTTTATCATTCTTATGAAGTCAACTTGCTCACTGACTAAATGTGCCATTTTTTAACATCAGTTTGCAAAAAATCATGCCTGTTATTCAAAATGACCAATCTACATATCTGTTTTTTGAAAAGCCACTTTACCTGGTTGATGAACAACTTTTCCAACTGTATGTTCTTCCTCCTCCTCCTCTTCCAGGATGAAGCCTCCTTTTGTATCAATTATCTTTGGGGCTGCTTTTACATTAGCCACGCCTACAAAAGATAAGAAGTGGTCAAGAAATGAACCAGGTAAGCCCGTATGGTCCCCTGTGTATAAACAGGAACTTTCAAAAATTTAATATATATCAAACAAGCCAAGATGTCCACTATTATCACTTCTATTCAACATTACACTGAAGGCCTCGGTCACTGTAATATGGCAAGAAAACAAGACAAGCATAAAGGCTGAAAAGGGTAAATCAATATTTATTCACAGATGATGTGATTATGTAATAGAGGACATCCATAAGAATCTACAATTAGAATTAAGAAATAATACCTAGGAATAGATGTGTAAAACCTCTATACTGAAAACACCACAACAGAAATCAAAGTCACTTCTCCCCAAATTCACCTAAAGATTCAATGTGATCCCACTCGAAACCCCAGTAGGTACTTGCAAGTGTGTGTTGGGGGTGGGGAGGAATAACAGGAGCTGACAAGCTGATCTAACGCTTATATGTAAATACAAAGAACACAGACTAGCCAGGATAATCCTGAACAAAACTAGAGAGCTTACACTGCCCAGACTTAAAGATTTACTACAAAGCTTCAGTAATTACAACAGTGTAGTACTGAAACAAAGACAAAGAGACCAGTGTAACAGAGTCCTGTTAATAGATCTCCACATATTTACAGCAAAGGCTTAACTTACCGAAAAGGCTCCAAGGCAATTCAGTGAGAAAAAGATAGCATTTCCAACAAACGATGCTAGGATTTATGACTAAGGCACTTCTACAAAACAGTGAGGAAAAGATGGTCATTCCAATAAGTGAACTTTGACTCTATCGCATACAATATACACAGAACAATTTTTAAATGGATCACAATCTTGAACATAAAAGGTAAAATAAAGCTTCTAGAAGAAAACATAAAATAACTTTATGAACTTGAGGTAGCCAAAAACTTCTTACACAGGACATACACGTATCAACCATAAGAGAAAAACTACTTAATTGAACTTGACTGAAACTATTATAACTTCAGATTTTATCAAGATGGCGGAGTAGAAGGATGTGCACTCATCTCCTCCTGCAAAAGCACCGAAATCTCCACTAGCTGTTGAACAGCTAGGACAGGCGAACACTAGAACCCACCAAAAACATACACCATGTCCAAAGACAAAGAAGCCACAACGAGAAGGAAGTTTACGGGAGCCTCTTAGCCTCATTCACCAGAAAGTGAAAGTATTGATCAGTTGTGTCTGACTCTTTGCGATCCCGTGGACTGTAGCCTGGACAGGCTCCTCTGTTCATGGAATTCTCCAGGCAAGAATTCTGGAGTAGGTTGCCATTTCCTTCTCCAGGGAACATATGTATAAGACCATCAGAAGAAGAAGAACCACAATCCCACAGCACCTAGAACAAAAATCACATGACAGAAAATCAGGATGAAAAAGAGAGTTATGTCCCAGGTGAAGGGACAATATAAACCCCCTGGAAAAACAACTAAATGAAGCGGAGACAGGCAACCTTTCAGAAAAAGAATTCAGAATGATGGTGAAGATGACCCAGGACCTCAGAAAAAGAACGGAGAAGATGCAAGGAATATTTATCAAAGAGTCAGAGGCACTAAAAACAAACACACACAGATGAAGGATACCTAGAAGGAATCAACGGCAGAATAACTGAGGCAGACAAATGGATAAGTCACCTGGAAGGCAGAATAGTGGAAATCATGGCTGCAGAACAGAATATAGAAAAAATAATGGGAAAAAAAAAATGAAGACAGCCTAAGAGACCTCTGGGACATGAAACACACCAACATTTGCATTATAGGGGTCCCAGAAGGAGGAGAGAGAGAGAGAGAAAGGACCAGAGAAGATATCTGAAGAGATAATAGTTGAAAACTTCCCTCACATAGGAAAGGAAATAGTCAACCAAGTTCAGGAAGCAGAGTCCTAGGCAGGATAACCCCAAGGAGGAACACACCAAGACACGCAGTAATCAAACTGACAAAAATGAAAGACAAAGATAAAATACTAAAAGGAACAAGGGAAAAGTGAGAAATAACATACAAGGGAACTCCCATCTGGTTATCAGCTGGCTTCTCAACAGAAACTCTACAAACCAGAGGGAACCTCACGACATGCTTAAAATGCTGAAAGGGAAGAACCTACAACCAAGAACATTCTACCTAGCAAGATTCTCGTTCAAATTTGATGGAGAAATCAAAAGCTTTCCAAACTAGCAGAAATTAAGAGAATTCAGCACCACCAAACCAGCTTTACAACAAATGCTAACGAAACATTTCTAGACAGGAAACACAAGAGAAGGAAAAGACCTACAGAAGATAAACCCAAAACAAACTAAGAAAATGGTGACAGGGTCATGTATATCGATAACTCCTCTAAATGTAAATGGATTAAACACATCAAGCAAAAGACGACTGCCTAGGCAGATGAAAATGTTCAAATACACACTTCCACTTCCCACATCACTCTGCCTGACCTCCCAAGTTGTATGTAATCATTTTATATTGTTAAGTTAATCTTGTTCCCATTATGGCTTACAACTGTAACTATCTCTTATTTTTTTGTCTGGCTATTGATTGTGAAAACTGATAAACATCTTTTACTATTGTGATTATGTAACTATTACTCAATACTGTTGTACCATGATTGGTCAACAGAAAAATAATTCTATGTCACCCAAACTACCATTTAATAGAAAAACCTGTAATCGCTTTTTAAAATCCAGATGCATATCAGAATTACCTTGGAATTTTTTGAAAAATACAAATGCCCAGGTACCGCTTTTCTTCTCCAAAGCTCCGGATATGTTTCTAATGAGCAGCCACGTTTAAAAACAACTGGGCTACATGATGACCTTTTACTTTTATCTAGTTTGTTTCACATTTTCTATTTCATATTCAGTGCTCCCATTTCATTTAATTTTCCAATTTCTCCACCTTTTTTTATGTTCTTTCTCAAGCCTTTATCAAGTGTAGTAAAGCTTTTATATACAAATATATAAACAGTAGGTATAACACTTTTAGAAAACATGAATTTTGCCTAACTAAAAAATGTATGACAGTTTGATTCCACTTGCTTGACTTCGTATGAACGCTAGATTTCTAATTAAAAAAAAATAGATATGCAACAAGCAACCAAGGTTTACAGTACAGCACAGAGGACGATGCTCAATACCTTGTAATAACCTGCAATGGAAAATAACTTGAAAAATAACACACGTGTGTATGTATAACTGACCCACCTTGCTATGCACCCGAAACATTCACTGTAAGTCAACTACACTTCAATAAAATACATAAAGGAAAAACCTCTATTCATCAAAAGACACCATTATGAGAGTAAAAAGACAAGATGAAACCTGGCAGAAGTTATTTGCAATATGTATATCTGACAAAAGACTCATATCCAGAATACACAGTGAAATCCCATAAACAGGCGACCCTGGTGGCTCAGATGGTAAAGAATGCTCCTGCAATGCAGGAGACCCCAGGTTTGATCCCTGGGTCGGGAAGATCCCCTGGAGAAGGGAATGGCAACCCACTCTAGTATTCTTGCCTGGAGAATCCCATGGACAGAGGGGCCTGGCGGGCTACTGCTAAGGGATCGCAAAGAGTCGGACACGACTGAGCAACTAACACTTTCACTTCAGTAAAAGAAAGACGGAGACTTAAAAAAAAAGGCAAAAGCCCAGAAGGGAAACTTCACAAATGAAAACACGCACACATCCAGTAACCACAAGAAAAAGGTCTCACTATCATTAGAAATTAGGAAAATACAAATTAAAACCATAATGAAATACCACCACTTCCACCGGAATACTCAAAATGAAAAAGACTAACAATTCCAAATGAAGATGTGGTATTGAGACTGTCATACATTGCTGGTAAAATTCTAAATTGACATAATCACTGTTTGGCAATGCCTCAGTTCAGTTCAGTCGCTCAGTCGTGTCCGACTCTTTTCGACCCCATGAACCGCAGCACACCAGGCCTCCCTACCTATCACCAACTCCCAGAGTTTACCCAAACTCATGTCCACTGAGGCGGTGATGCCATCCAATCATCTGATCCTCTGTCATGCCCTTCTGCTCCAGCCCTCAATCTTTCCCAGCATCAGGGTCTTTTCCAAGGAGTCAACTCTTCCCAGCAGGTGGCCAAAGTATTGGAGTTTCAGCTTCCGTCCTTCCAATGAACACCCAGGACTGATCTCCTTTAGGATGGACTGGTTGGATCTCCTTGCAGTCCAAAGGACTCTCAAGAGTCTTCTCCAACACCACAGTTCAAAAGCATCAATTCTTCGGCGCTCAGCTTTCTTTATAGTCCAACTCTCACATCCATACATGACCACTGGAAAAACCACAGCCTTGACTAGACAGACCTTTGTTGGCAAAGTAACGTCTCTGCTTTTTAATATGCTGTCTAGGTTGGTCATAGCTTTTCTTCCAAGGAGTAAGCATCTTTTTATTTCATGGCTGCAATCACCATCAGAAGTAATTTTGGAGCCCCCCAAAATAAAGTCTTTCACTATTTCCACTGTTTCTCCATCTATCTGCCATGAAGTGATGGGACCAGATGCCATGATCTTAGTTTCCTGAATGTTGAGCTTTAAGCCAACTTTTTCACTCTATTTCACTTTCATCAAGAGGCTCTTTAGTTCTTCTTCACTTTGTGCCATAAGGGTGTTGTCATCTGCGTATCTGAGGTTATTGATATTTCTCCCAGCAATCCTGATTCCAGGTTGTGATTCATCCAGCTCAGTATTTCTCATGATGTATTCTGCGTATACTAAAGCTAAATATACATTCCCCCTAGGAGCCAGGATTACATTTCTAGGTATATACACAATAGAAATGTGTGCATATGTCCACCGTAAAACATATATCAAAATGCTCACAAATGTTTTCCTTTTAATAGCTCCAAACTGGAAACAACCCAAATTTCCATCAGAAGGGAAATGGAAAAACTACAACGTAATAACATAAAAGAGTACTATAGAACATATAAATGAACAGATTACCAATACATGCAACAACAGGGATGAATCTCTCAGGTATTACTTTGAGCAAAAGAAGCCAGATACTGTATGTTTCCATTTATATAATGTTCAAAAACAGATGGTACTAATCAAATATTCAGAAGAGTAGTTACTTCTGAGGGTGAGTAACTGACCAGGAAGTGACAGTAGGGAAACTTTAAGGTTCTGGAAGTGTCAGTACAGTATATTGATGCCGTGGTATTAGACATGAGCACTCACACAAGTAAAATTCAGATAAGTGCATTTTACATTAATGTATAACTAATTCTTTTAGACAAAGAGGTATTATTCTACTTAAATCACTCCCCTTCCCTGGCCTCAATTTCTTTTTCTATTATATAAAGGGATTAGAGTATAATAAACCTGTTTCTACAGTTAACAGCAATTTTCATATTTTACTATACCGCCCGTTCATCTCCTTATATCCCTGCATTAGCCTGAGCGCTTTTATCTCTGTAATTCTGAAAAACAGTTTTGCATTCCATGAATATTTACTGACTGGATAGAAAATGTACCAGAATATGATTTTGATTTCATGAATGTCATAAGAAGGGAAGCTGTGGTTATTAAGACTATAATTAGAGCAGGATTCTGAATAATGCGGCTGCTGCTGCTGCTAAGTCACGTCAGTCGTGTCCGACTCTGTGAGACCCCATAGACGGCAGCCCACCAGGCTCCTGTCCCTGGGACAATGCTAAATCAGGCCAAAAACAAAGCCCCATTTCTCTCTACTGCTGTGCGTGCATTTCCCCAGGCCCTTGGCACTACTCTTAGCAACACATTCTAAGCAAGTTCTTCTCAGTCTTTTTCAAGGCATATGTCATAGCACACACAGAATATGAAAACTATACATATGGAAATAAAAGTATTACAGAGAACAAAAATCTCAGCACCTAACTAACTTGAAGCACAGGTTGTCTATAATGCAACAACACAATTCAGTTCTTCGGTAAATGCCCAAGAAATCTTACAAGATATTCATGCTGCCTTGCTTTCCATTATCAGACATTTAATACCGCTTTATGCTCTACTTTGCACCCCTGTCCCATAGCCATTTTACACATTTAGAAATCTTTATGGAATCATGAATATGAATTAGTCCATGCAGATGAAGACCATTTTGTCCTGATCCTAGAATGCTAAAAGGTGGTAAAAATGTGCAGATTCCATGTCAGTATGAATGAATACCGACATGCAGCTAGCTCTTTTCACTCTTCCTTCCTTCTGGCTGATGAGAAGGGGTAGTAGATGACACAGTTCTGACTGAGCTCAACTGCTCAGGTAGGTTTGGACACAGGTGCTTCACATTACAGAGGCAGTCCTGAAGAACCACATGTCAACCAAACTGTACTTCTCTGGGGAAAATAACTGGTTGACCCCCACTGGAGAATTACATGATAGGCAAAGAGATAGGCAGCCAAGTGCTGCTCTAGGAAAAGGGAAAGATGAAATCCAAGCAAGAATAACAGCCCTTCATCCCAAGAGTGAGAGAAATGTCTAGTATAGCAGAGGCAACTAGTGAGCCAGGAAGGGCCCTGAATCCAGGGTCAGACGACCGGAGTTCTAGTCCTGATTAGCCTTGGCACTTACTGGGATGAACCTGAGCAAACCCCCTTTCCTTTCCTGATCCTCAATTATCATCTCAGGACAACACGGATACCAAGACCTGCCCTAAAGAGCTCCAGGTTAGCTGTTTGAATCAAATGAGCCGGTCTGAAGAACGTGAAGCTCAACAGGCGCACTCTGCTACCCGCCCCGCCCCCCCACGAAGGCAGGAACTAGGGTCTGTCTGCTCTCAGCGCGTAGCAAGCACTGCGTTATCAGCCCGTGTTATAGGGATGCATGATGGAGCTGGCGCAGGACTACTACTCAAATATGCTATAAGGTCTAAAAGCTTTACACAAAGACCATCCCCTGGGACCCGCGGAAATTGCAGGAAGAGAGCAGAGAGGGAGAGCTGAGACACTGGCTAGCATCTCCAGACGGCGAGGGAGGCTGCATCCCCAAACTAAGGACGGCAGCTGGACCGCCCAAGGCAGGGAGGAAAGGCCAGGGCTGGGAGTCAGGGTCGCCCTGTCGTCGTGGACAGTCCGCAGTGACAATCTCCGACGAGCGGATTCCCTACCCCTTCCCCTACCCCCTCCACCCGCGCCGACCCGGGACTGCACAAGCGTCTGCGATCAGACGCGAGAGGAGGGACGCCCCATCCAGGATGCGGCCCCCGGTCCCCCAGGAGAGAAGAGGCAGGCGCCGCCAAGGGCCCAACTACCTCCAGTAGTTGCAGCTGCCGTCGCCGGGTAAGGCCGGGCCGCCAGCCGGGCCTGGCGCAGCATCAGCGCCCGCTGCCGCTTCCGCTCGACGCTCGCCCGCACTGAGGCAGGCAGCTCCGCTGGTTGGTCTGAAGCCGCCGGCTCCGACGAAGCTTCCCCGGCGGCGGCCATCTCCCACCTCCCCGGAGGTCCGCGGCTCTAGCTCCGCGCACGCGCACCGTGGCCCACAGCGTGCGCAGGGCTCCCCCTCGCGGAGTCGCCAGCACGGCCCCCTGAGGGGAGCGCAGCCGCGCGGTCAGAGGAGGAAGTGGGGGAGGAAAGGGCGGGCCGTGAGGTCTGCGCACGCGCCGGCGCGGAAGCTGCCTGCCGGCTCATAATCCAGCGCCACGAGCCAGTGCAGAGGTCAGTGATTAGAATCCGGTCATCTCTAAAATAGCAGCTTCGCTTGGTAGTTCAGAATATGGGCTTTGGAGTCATTTCAGTTGCTCAGTCGTGTCCGGCTGTTTGCGACCCCATGGACTGCAGCACCCCAGGCCTCCCTGTCCATCACCAACTCCCAGAGCTCGCTCAAACTCATGCCCATCGAGTCGGTGATGCCATCCAACCATCTCATCCTCTGTCGTTCCCTTCTCCTGCCTTCAATATTTCCCAGCATCAGGGTCTTTTCCGATGAGTCGGTTCTTCGCATCAGGTCGCCAAAGTATTGGAGGTTCAATTTCAGCATCAGTCCTTCCAATGATATTCAGCACTGATTTCCTTAAGGATCGACTTGTTTGATCTCCTTGCAGTCCAAGGGACTCTCAAGAGTCTTCTCCAACATCACAGTTCAAAAGCATCAATTCCTCAGCACTCAGCCTTCTTTATAGTCCAACTCTCATATCCATACATAACTATTGGAAAAACCTTAGCTTTGACTAGACAGACTTTGTTGGCAAAATAATGTCTCTGCTTTTTAATATGCTATCTAGGTTGGTCATAGCTTTTCTTCCAAGCAGCAAGAGTCTTTTGATTTCATGGCTGCAGTCACCATCTGAAGTGATTTTGGAGCCCAAGAAAATAAAGTCTCTCACTGTTTCCATTGCTTCCCCATCTATTTGCCATGACGTGATGGGACCAGGTGCCATGATCTTAGTTTTCTGAATATAGAGTTTTAAGCCAGCTTTTTCACTCTCCTCTTTCACTTTCATCAAGAGGTTCTTTAGTTCCTTTTTGCTTTCTGCCATAAGGGTGGTATCATCTGTGTATCTGAGGTTATTGATATTAATCCCTGCAATCTTGATTCCAGCCTGTGCTTCATCAAGCCCAGCATTTTGCATGATGCACTCTGCATATAAGTTAAATAAGCAAGGTGACAGTACACAGACCTACTCCTTTCCCAATTTGGAACCAGTTGATTGTTCCATATCCGGTTCTAACTATTGCTTCTTGACCTGCATACAGATTTCTCAGGAGGCAGGTCAGGTGGTCTGGTGTTCCCATCTCTTTAAGAATGTTCCACAGTTTGTTGTGATCCACACAAAGGCTTTAGCATAGTCAATAAAATAGAGGTAGGTGTTTTTCTGGAACTCTCTTGCTTTTTCTATGATCCAATGGATGTTGGCAATTTGATCTCTGGTTCCTCTGCCTTTTCTAAATCCAGCTTGAACATCTGAAGTTCTTGGTTCACAGGCTTGGAGAATTTTGAGCATTGCTTTGCTAGCATGCGAGATGAGTGCAATTTTGCAGTAGTTTGAACATTGTTTGGCATTGCCTTTCTTTGGAACTGGAGTCAGACTTGGGTTAAACCCTATCCCTGACACTTGCCGTCTGCATGACTTCAGAAAGTCATGAATTAACCTGAATTCAGTTTCTCCAGTAGTAAAATGAGGATAATTATGGAACCACTTCCATGGTTGTTAGGAGGATTAGATGCAGCCTTTTATTTTATTTTATTTATTTTTTATTTATTTATTTGTTTTTTTTTTATCACAACCATAGTGTATCTTTTTTTTTTTTTTTACATGTATTCCCCATCCCGGTCCCCCCTCCCACCTCCCTCTCCACCCAATCCCTCTGGGTCTTCCCAGTGCACCAGGCCCGCGCACTTGTCTCATGCACCCAACCTGGGCTGGTGAACTGTTTCACCCTAGATAACATACGTGTTTCAGTGCTGTTCTCTTGAAACATCCCACCCTCACCTTCTCCCAGAGTCCACAAGTCTATTCTATACATAGGAGTCTCTTTTTCTGTTTTGCACATAGGGTTATCATTACCATCTTTCTAAATTCCATATATATGTGTTAGTATACTGTAATGGTCTTTATCTTTCTGGCTTACTTTGCTCTGTATAATGGGCTCCAGTTTCATCCATCTCATTAGAACTGATTCAAATGAATTTTTAATGGCTGAGTAATATTCCACGGTGTATATGTACCACAGCTTCCTCATCCATTCATCTGCTGATGGGCATCTAGGTTGCTTCCATGTCCTGGCTATTATAAACAGTGCTGCGATGAACATTGGGGTGCACGTGTCTCTTTCAGATCTGGTTTCCTCGGTGTGTATACCCAGAAGTGGGATTGCTGGGTCATATGGCAGTTCTATTTCCAGCTTTTTAAGAAATCTCCACACTGTTTTCCATAGTGGCTGTACTAATTTGCATTCCCACCAACAGTGTAAGAGGGTTCCCTTTTCTCCACACCCTCTCCAGCATTTATTGCTTGTAGACTTTTGGATAGCAGCCATCCTGACTGGTGTGTAATGGTACCTCATTGTGGTTTTGATTTGCATTTCTCTGATAATGAGTGATGTTGAACATCTTTTCATGTGTTTGTTAGCCATCTGTATGTCTTCCTTGGAGAAATGTCTGTTCAGTTCTTTGGCCCATTTTTTGATTGGGTCATTTATTTTTCTGGAGTTGAGCTGGAGGAGTTGCTTGTATATTTTTGAGATTAATCCTTTGTCTGTTGCTTCGTTTGCTATTATTTTCTCCCAATCTGAGGGCTGTCTTTTCACCTTGCTTATAGTTTCCTTTGTTGTGCAAAAGCTTTTAAGTTTCATTAGGTCCCATTTGTTTATTTTTGCTTTTATTTCTAAAATTCTGGGATGTGGGTCATAGAGGATCCTGCTGTGATTTATGTCGGAGAGTGTTTTGCCTATGTTCTCCTCTAGGAGTTTTATAGTTTCTGGTCTTACATTTAGATTTTTAATCCATTTTGAGTTTATTTTTGTGTATGGTGTTAGAAAGTGTTCTAGTTTCATTCTTTTACAGGTGGTTGACCAGTTTTCCCAGCACCACTTGTTAAAGAGGTTGTCTTTTTTCCATTGTATATCCTTGCCTCCTTTGTCAAAGATAAGGTGACCATAGGTTCGTGGATTTACCTCTGGGCTTTCTATTCTGTTCCATTGATCTATATTTCTGTCTTTGTGCCAGTACCATACTGTCTTGATGACTGTGGCTTTGTAGTATAGTCTGAAGTCAGGCAGATTGATTCCTTCAGTTCCATTCTTCTTTCTCAGGATTACTTTGGCTATTCGAGGTTTTTTGTATTTCCATACAAATTGTGAAATTATTCGTTCTAGTTCTGTGAAAAATATCGTTGGTAGTTTGATAGGGATTGCATTGAATCTGTAGATTGCTTTGGGTAGTATAGCCATTTTGACAATATTGATTCTTCCAATCCATGAACACAGTATATTTCTCCATCTGTTTGTGTCCTCTTTGATTTCTTTCATCAGTGTTTTATAGTTTTCTATGTATAGGTCTTTTGTTTCTTTAGGTAGATCTACTCCTAAGTATTTTATTCTTTTTGTTGCAATGGTGAATGGTATTGTTTCCTTAATTTCTCTTTCTATTTTCTCATTGTTAGTGTATAGGAATGCAAGAGATTTCTGTGTGTTAATTTTATATCCTGCAACTTTACTGTATTCGTTGATTATCTCTAGTAATTTTCTGGTAGAGTCTTTAGGATTTTCTATGTAGAGGATCATGTCATCTGCAAACAGCGAGAGTTTCACTTCTTCTTTTCCTATCTGGATTCCTTTTACTTCTTTTTCTGCTCTGATTGCTGTGGCCAAAACTTCCAAAACTATGTTGAATAGTAGTGGTGAGAGTGGGCACCCTTGTCTTGTTCCTGATTTCAGGGGAAATGCTTTCAGTTTTTCACCATTGAGGGTGATGCTTGCTGTGGGTTTGTCATATATAGCTTTTATTATGTTGAGGTATGTTCCTTCTATTCCTGCTTTCTGGAGAGTTTTAATCATAAATGGATGTTGAATTTTATCAAAGGCTTTTTCTGCATCTATTGAGATAATCATATGGTTTTTATCTTTCAATTTGTTAATGTGGTGTATTACATTGATTGATTTGCGGATATTAAAGAATCCTTGCATTCCTGGGATAAAGCCCACTTGGTCATGATGTATGATTTTTTTAATATGTTGTTGGATTCTGTTTGCTAGAATTTTGTTAAGGATTTTTGCATCTATGTTCATCAGTGATATTGGCCTGTAGTTTTCTTTTTTTGTGGCATCTTTGTCTGGTTTTGGAATTAGGGTGATGGTGGCCTCATAGAATGAGTTTGGAAGTTTACCTTCTTCTGCAATTTTCTGGAAGAGTTTGAGTAAGATAGGTGTTAGCTCTTCTCTAAATTTCTGGTAGAATTCAGCTGTGAAGCCATCTGGTCCTGGGCTTTTGTTTGCTGGAAGGTTTCTGATTACAGTTTCGATTTCCTTGCTTGTGATGGGTTTGTTCAGATCTTCTATTTCTTCCTGGTTCAGTTTTGGAAAGTTATACTTCTCTAAGAACTTGTCCATTTCTTCCAAGTTGTCCATTTTATTGGCATAGAGCTGCTGGTAGTAGTCTCTTATGATCCTTTGTATTTCAGTGTTGTCTGTTGTGATCTCTCCATTTTCGTTTCTAATTTTGTTAATTTGGTTCTTCTCCCTTTGTTTCTTAATGAGTCTTGCTAATGGTTTGTCAATTTTGTTTATTTTTTCAAAAAACCAGCTTTTAGCTTTGTTAATTTTTACTATGATCTCTTTAGTTTCTTTTGCATTTATTTCTGCCCTGATTTTTAAGATTTCTTTCCTTCTACTAACCCTGGGGTTCTTCATTTCTTCCTCCTCTAGTTGCTTTAGGTGTAGAGTTAGGTTATTTATTTGACTTTTTTCTTGTTTCTTGAGGTAGGCCT